ACTTCGAGAGAGAATTGCTCACACGATTTGGCACATCCGATTACCATAATTATAATGAGGCCCTCGCACGAATCTGACATACAGGCAATTTGCGTGAATACATCAAGGAGTTTGAACGACTAGCCTGTCGCGTGCGAGATTGGTCTGAGGATGCGCTAGTAGGAGCCTTCGTAGGTGGGCTGAGATTCGATCTAGCCGCAGAAGTCCGACTGGAGCGACCGGGCACGATGCATAATGCCATGGAGGTGGCCTGTCGACGAGAAGACCATCTAGTCGCTACGCGAAGGGGACGGGCGGATGTGCGATCGCGGACAGACGACGCACGGGGCCGAACCAAGCCACGGCCGGCGCACGGCCAAACGTCAGCAATCGGCCAGCAGGGTCGATAGTGAGGCGGCTGTCTCCCGAGGAAGTTAAACGTCGACGTGAGAAAGGCTTATGTTTCAAGTGTGAGGAGAAATTTACACCAGGTCATCAGTGTAAGCAAGCTTTTGTGATCAAAGTTGCTAATCCTGATGAGGAAGGATCTGAGGACGAGGAGGAACCACATCAGGATATTGAAGTTGAGGGGCCCGACGAAAAGGCAGAAATCTCGATGCACGCAATGGCCGGGATTAGGGGGCCTCAAACGATGTGATTGTCGGCCTGGGTCAAGGATCGGAAGGTGGTGGTGCTAGTGGACAACGGGTCATCACACAACTTTATAAATGCCAACTTGTCCCAGAAGCTGAACTTACCAACCACGAATATTGAACCTTTTGAGGTACGGGTAGCCAATGGTGAGAGGCTGCAATGCACTAAATCCTTCCGGAAGGTGCCAATCAGGTTCAACGGATTTACAGTGAAGGCTGATCTCTATGCCTTACCGCTGGTTGGGCCGGATGTCGTCCTAGGTGTACAATGGCTTGAAGGGTTAGGCAAGGTGACCACCGACTATCGAACAGGAATTATGGAGTTCAACTCCGGAGGTCAGCAAGTCACTCTGAGTACGGGCAATGAAAAAGGTACCAAGGAAGTAGGGCTTAAGAGCATCGAGAAAGTTTGGCGGGGTGGAGGCCAAATATTTGCAGTAGTGGTGGAGAAGACTGAGGCGCACATAGATCAAGAGGAGCAACAGCAGGGAGATGTGCACGAGCTTCTCCAGGAATTTGAGGGAGTACTGGTCGAACCTAAGGGATTACCCCCACACCGGGAGTTCGATCATCGCATACCACTGATCAACGAGCAACACGCCATACACGTTCATCCTTATAGGTACACTCACTTTTAGAAAACCGAAATCGAACGGCATGTGGTCGAGATGCTTGAATCAGGACTAATCCAGCATAGCAAGAGTCCGTTTTCTTCTCCATTCTTGTTATCCAAAAAGAAAGACGGCACGTGGCGGTTCTGTACTGACTACCAAGCTCTGAACGCTGCAACCATCAAGGACCGATTTTCTATCCCGAGTGTCGATGACATGCTCGATGAGTTAGCCGGGTCACGCTATTTCTCAAAGCTCGATCTGAGAGCTGGTTACCATCAAATTCGACTCCATCAGGCCGACATTC